TTTAAAATAAAAACGTTAAATTTCAATTTAAAAAAAGAACCGGTCGGACTTGACTCATTTCACCGCATGGTATCGTCGAGCGAAGGAATTAACAAAACTTAAAATACAATGCTGCCTATAACTAAGGCACCGCTGTCTGTCTCTCTGTCTGTCACCAAGCTGTATCTCAAGAACCATGATAGTGAGCCAGTTGAAATTTTTGTTCGACACAAGATTTTTTTTAACGTTGCGCGATTCCGACTCGCACTTGGCCGAGTTTCTTTTTGTTTGTCCCAAAAAAGTTGCTTGGTCGAGACGTATTCGTAGTGAAACGTATATCGTTTCATAGGCTGAATGACTAACAGCTATCGCACTGCGAAACAAACGATACGACACGCCAATCGTGTGAGTGATCACAAACAATACTTAAAAATAATCGTTACTAAAACGAAGTAGTTTTTCGAAATCGATAAGTCCATAGACAACAAGGCAGCACATATTAAAAAAAGGCGCCGGGCGGACGATTCACGAAATCGATTACCGCGTACACACCGAGATATATTTAGAGGCATCTCGCCGGCCGACGGAGGGGCGTCGAGAGCGGTGCCGGTGATGTCACCGTGTGTACGGGAACGACGGAGCCAAGATTACCTACTAGCGTATCATTCATACACTATTATGTATCTATGTATCATAAATGATTAAACTATTATTATTATGGGGGGATATTCATTTGTTTTCTCGTCTGGTTGGGTTTATAAATAAAAATAAAAATATAGATACATATTGCATATATAAAATAAATATTATGGATAAAAATAAACATATACATATATATACTTTATTGTACACCACAAAAAGTTTTATACAGTTCATATAAAATAAATCATAAAAGTTAGGTACAATAAGGCGGCCTTATCGCTAAAGAGCGATCTCTTCCAGACAACCTTAGGACAAGGAAAATAAACTTATGAATAGTGGGAGTTGGTGTGCTTAATAAACTTACTAACTATTAACTATGACCAAAAGCTTCCCTCACACAGGTTAATATAACGTAAAAGTAATGGTATTTTCGAATTTTGTTTATGGTGGTAGGGCCACGCAGCAGCCTCGACTGTTGCACGAATGGGCAGGCCCGTCCGGGTAAGTACCACGACCTCACAGAAGACCAGCGTAAAGTGGAAGTATGACAAATACTTTCGCGTTTCGTCTGGTGAGTGAGGTAGCTGGACCACAACTTTCAAAAGGTTGTCAACACATCTGTAACCCTCAGGTGTAGCAGGTGTCCATGGGCGGCGGTATTCACTTACATCAGGTGAACCTTCTGCTCGTTTTGCAACTTTTCACATTAATAATATGTAAGTTTAGCCATTGCGACTAAAGAAAAAAGAAAAAGAACCTACTAAAAAAGTAAATATATTTACAATATCTTCTGTTAAGTTTATCAGACGTCAAATTCTGTTCAGACAGTTCATTGTAACTCGTATTTACAAAAGACTAGTGTTACATGGGGGCAATGATAATATTTTTATATATAAACTAATTTATTCATTTAACATATTTTGAAATATGCCTACAAGGCCCCTCTGTTCGGTAAACTGTTACTCATTCTGGAATAATTGAAGATTTCAAAGCATCCAAATCACCAAATCCTTTTTATTCCGGTCAGATTAAGAAAACAAAACGACTATGGGGGTGAACTTTAATTGGCGCAATGTGTACCCACTATATTACGCCAATACAAGTTTTTATTTAATTAGAAGAAGTTGTTTGAAAGATCGTGCAAAGCTAAAAGGATAAAGTGCCCCATCCTCGCCTTGGGATGGTCACGTACCGAATACGATTTCCTTGGGCGAGCTCGTCCCAGGCACATTTCCTTGACACGCTTTTCGACTTCTGAATAGGCGTCTCGGAGTGCACCAGCGGAACGATACGACATACGCAAACGCTCGCTTGTACGCAGCGTTGAGTCATGAATAAGGAAACTTGCGCACAGGCATGCCGCATTTGGTGACGTCCATGGCTCACGCTGACTTTTTAAAACAACTGCTTACCGTCTTCTGCTATACCATCGGTTATAGCAGCAAACAAGAGACTGATACCTAAGATGACTCGGGCGAAACTCAATTCTGATGAACACTTACAATTTTCCTTTTATATATATATATATATATAATCACTTTAGGATAACGTTATCCTTTTTATAAGGACGTTTTACCAAAATAAATTTCACATGGACAAACACACATATACGAAATAACTTTATGTGGGTCGCACAAGTAGTCCCGTGTGGAAATCGAACACACGACTACCCACGCCGAAGCAAATACCTTGGAAACGCATTGACGCATCGGACACTTGGGACCGCCATTTATGCAACAGTAGAAGCTGCGACAGTGAAAAGTTAGTATGGTATAACGACATTTGCTTTTTTCAACTTCGATGCTAAATGATATCTCCGATTAAACTATAAGACATTGTTACACTAAAGGTCAATGTAGTCCGGATCGTTTGTGAAATTGAGTGCACATTTTTACGACAGAATCATCGATACTTGCACCAAGCGATGACGTAACTTATAATATTCGACACAGTATAAATAAATATAAAAAACTCAATCATAACCTCTTAAGTTGAAATACCCGAAGGATAAACTCTTATTGATTTATCGTCAAGGTTATTCCGATCTCAATGGGCGAATCTCGTTCGGAGAGTGGTTTGCTTACATAATTCTTTCAACGTAAATTGAATTAATAAGAATTTTAATCATATTACACGTGGTCAAGATAACAAACGCGAAATAAACTTAGGACATTTAGTAAAAGCTGCACAAGTAATCCCTTATTTAGTAAAGTAACAGCCTATACGTGTCCCATAGCTGGGCAAAGGCCTTCTCTGTACAGAGGGTATCTGGGCATAGTCCACCACGCGGCCCAACTGCGGATTGGCGGACTTCACAGAAGTCCTTTCAAAAATATGCAGGTTTCTTCACGATGTTTGCCTTTACCGCTGAGCTTTAAACTAACAATGTTATTGGTGCCGGGGATAGAACACGGGTTTCTCGAGTATATTTTACTAAAAGCAGGCACCCGGACACTGAGCTATCATGGTGTATAGCAATATATGTATATAATACTAGCTTTTCGCCCGCGGCTTCGCTCACGTTGAAGCTCTTAAATAAATATCTTTGTTTAACCTTTCAACCATTTACAACACTTTTTTCTAATAAAAAAATAGCCTATGTCCTTTATCTGCGTACCAAATTTCATTTAAATCGATTCAGTAGTTTTGGCGTGAAAGCGAGACAGACGGACAGAGTCACTTTCGCATTTATAATATTAATATGGATTCATGTAGTCAAATCATTTGAATCCATCCCTAACACGTCACGTACCAACTAATGCGTCACGATCATATACCGTGACGGAGACAAAGGATTGTAGTGAATGTGACAAAACAACAAGCTTCACGAGTCATTAATATTTTGGTAAATGTAGAACTACCTGTTGAGTTCATCGAGGGCGCGAGGCTAGGCGGCACGCGATATAGCTTCAACTTGTTATAGTAACAAATTAACAATAATTAAGAGTAACATCGTCACTACATAGTATAAAAGTCGTCCCGCTGTCTGTCCGTCCCTATGTATGCTTAGATCTTTAAAACTACCCAATGGATCTTGATGTGTTTTTTTAATAGATAGATTGATTCAAGAGGAAGGTTTATATGTATAATACATTGCACCCGTGCGAAGCCGGGGCGGGTCGCTAATTTATAGTAATATAACATTACAATAGATGTGGCAGCGGTCATCGTCGTAATTCGAATTCCGTTGCTTTTGCCCGTTCGGATTCTTTATACATAATTATACGGCGACAGGCTCGTCGCGTTTAGAACAACACTATCTTTCACAATATGTTATGGTTTAAGCGACAAGTTCCCTACGTCATTACCCATTGGTGGAAAGTTATTAGGTAGTAAAATAACATTCAAGACCTCGGCCGTGAGTTCGGTAATAAAGAATCGATGAGAAAATACAATATAACAAAGCTGTGTGTTGGTATGATGACCTTGAGCCTCGACCCCGTCTGCGAGGATGCACCCTCCGATATTGTCCTAAGTGCGTTCAGGAAGCCCCAATGATGTCGGCGGACTATTAAAACGAGTGATGTCATTTTCACTGACTGACATTGAGTCAGTGCTCGTTTAGACATAACGACGAACCAAAAAATTGTAGCATCTGACGACATGACTGAATCACCGCTGACCAGTCCATTGCAATTATTTACGTAGCAAATTATAAGATCGAAAATGTTTTTTGCGACGTTGACGCAAGATATAAGATCATGTTTCCAAAATCTATCGCTTAACTAAGAACTTTCCGCGTTGATTCCCATTTTGCAAATAATTTTGTTGTCGAATACAGGTATAACTACTTATAGACCAGTCCCGGCACTAAGAAACCATCATGCTAATAGCAAATTTAGCCGAGCAGCATATTTAGCCGTGTGTATTGTGTGTTAATCTTTGGAAAAATTACACATTACAAAAATAAAAAGTATTTTGTAATATTATATTACAAAATACTTTTTATTTTTGTGTTAAATATGTACATGTTTCAAGCAATAAATCTCGTTTATAATGATTATTCGAACACAAATCAAACCGATCACTACGCGGCTCCAACCTATTCTCACTCTGTTGGCAGACTTGCTTTCATTTTTACTATGAAAACGTACAAAATATAATAAAAAACCTAGCTGCGATATAATAGTCGCACACTACACAGCCTATTTGTTGCCGTCGGTTGTCCAGAAATAAATTCATTTTGTTTACTCGCGACATACGCTAAGCGAAAGTAATTTTAGACTTAAATGACATTCATTTACTTCAAAATAAAATAGAGCAATTTTGAGAAAATGTATAGAGCCACGTAGATTAATTATTATTTTCTCTGTCCGTTGGCCAAAGCCAAAGCGATGTATCGACACGAAACCAAACCGGTTCTCCCGCCCTTTACTTACCGCCACCAAAAGGTTGAAGAAGAACAGCACATATTTCACGAAACTCGTTCCACACCCCATTTTGAATACACTGCGACCAACACAATAAACTTCACCAGTTGAGATCACTCACAAGTTTAGCTTGTTTACTAAATCGTTAACCAGACGCGGTACAACTCCAACGGCGAATCGAAAGTGACTAAATGAAAATAAAGGGGCAACCGGGACGGGAGATCGCAATGGCGACGCCATGAATGTGTTGCCAGTTCATAATTTTTATATTCCCATAGTCAAACTTGATTAAACTTTTTGCAGCCGGCTTAAATTCTTGAAATACAGTTGGATGGGAATCTTTAAAATGAAATTGTGTGACCTTTTATTACTTTAAACATTATAATATATATATCACATGATAGACATTTATATCACGTACGTCGATGATGGTAACGGAATAAATGTCAATAGTAAATTCTTTATTCATGCTTTTTAACTGTGGTAGGGCCACGCAACAGTCTTCTCTGTCTCACGAATGGGCAGGTCCGTCCTGTAAGTACCACGAACTCACAGAAGAAGTGGAAGTATTCCACTTTTCAATACTTCAGCGTTTCGTCAGGTGAGTGAGTTAGTCGGGATCCAATTTATTAAAAGGTTTGGCAAATGCCAATGAGAGGCGTTTATCACCTAAAATCAGGTGAACCACCAGCTCGTTTGTCATATTCTCACATTAAAAAAGATAAATGCCATTTTTACACAGTATGTACTGTGTAACAAGTACAATAAGGTTTATAGAAAGATCTCATATCTTAGTTTTCCCCAAAATTAAGTAAAATTTCAGGTCATCGAAACACGAGCGTATTCCCCCGTTTCCCCGCGCGTCACTCACGACGAATTGTTACCCAGTACCCCTCATTCAATATGCGCGGTCCCGCTCAAACTTAAACATTTTTCGAGTACCTAATATCCTGTTCTCACTCTAGGACCTTCATCTCACCGACGAGAATTTTATTTAAAGAATTTACTATCGTCTTGTTGGTTTTTTATCTTTAATTGTTTAATCCGCCTAAGTTACAATCGCTTAATTCGTCTTTTTTAGATTTCTTGGCCAGACATAATAACACAGGCACAAAATGCCGTAAACAAAGTATCCTTTCTTTTAAGCTCGGTTCTTTAATGGTATGGAATAAAAGTTCAGCTACATACATCCATCAATGCTGTGATCGCTGTTGAAAGTATTTTGTATTTCAAAAAGAATCTGTCTGTCTGTCTGGCTTTCACGCCATAACTATTGAACCGATTTAAATGAAATTTGGTACACAGATAGTCTAGAGCCTGAGAAAGGAAATAGGCTATTTTTTAATTGGAAAGAATTGTTGTAAAGGGTTGAAAATATCTTTCTTTAAAATATATAGGTATATAGTTTTAAAGAAATATATTTATTTTAAGGACATCAAAGCGAGCGAAGCCGCGGGCGAAAAGCTAGTATAAGATAAAATGAATTAGAAAAGAATAGGTTTCACTATTTTACAGTTAAAATACTGTAAATGATTTAATCCATATCAGCATTACTATTAGTTACTAGGTTTAGATATACTCGTGTAACGCGTTTATATGCCTAACACAAATGTTACTTTATACTTAATGTAAAATAAATTGGAATTACTTAGGTACTTTGTTGTTATTGTATTCAATGTATTTTGTTGCTAGAATTTTCAAAACACACCTAGTTTTTAAGCACTATTATGAGCCTACTTATCTCCATACATTCTCATTAGCGTAGTCAGCGATTGACAATCCTTCATCATTCAAACGAGGAAGAGTCAAGAGCGTGTCATCATCATCATCATTTCAGCCTTTTTGAGTCCACTGCTGAACATAGGCCTCCCCCATAGACTGCCATGAAGTGCGATCCTGAGCCACCTGCATCCATCGACTTCCCGCACATTTGCAATGTATCACAAGACCGTGTATCCACCTTCATTTGTAAAACTTTACCTGTTCAATTGGAAATCCTGTTCACCGAGGAGATTTCATATGTAGTACATCCATTGCGACCCGAGTAGATTAGTGAAGACGTCTTTAAAGCCGAAATCAATTGTCGGATACATGAAAATAATGAAGGGCATCGTCTAGCCAAATACTGGAACTGTGGGATTTAATCTTGATCGCTTGCGAGTCCCAGCGTTGCAACAGATTTTACACTCATCGTATGGATAGATATTTATGTTAATATGTGATGTGTGTGCAATTCACCCCTGCCAGATAATGCGATGTATCAACGGTAGGATAATTGTCATTTTCATAAACACTGTAAGTATCAATGTTTAAAGTTAAAGTTTTCAGTAAAATTAACTTGTCTTGATTGAAAATTAACTGTTCTTGTTTCGCATTTCGTGCTGAATGGCCTCACCAGCGTGAGGTGAGATTTTTCGTCTGGTGAGTAAATTTAATGGAGATTCACGTTCTCAGCGGCTCGGACACTTGTGAAAGCTCAGATGGCTCAGTCCACTCTTTGAAGTAAAATAAAAATTGAGACATTACACCTTGACGCCCGGTTTCTGAAACACTGATCATCGTAGATGTCAACTAATCAGCTGTCAAATGACTTTACAAATTTCATTTAAGTTGCCAAAAGGAAGGTTAAACTCTTTGAATTGATCATTCTAATCATTAAGAACATTCTGGGCAGTTCAGAGTGTTTAACCTTCCTTTTGGCGACTAAAATGAAATTTGAAAAGCCAATTAACAAAACTCAAAGAAGTCAGAATCATTTAGGATTTACACGTTGGACTGTTCTTCCGTTCGTTTATAAGCGACCTGACGTTCGTGAAGTATATATTATAATAAGGAAAAATATTCCAAAACAAATTTGGTTTACATTTTCGTCGTTTTGTTTCTTTACATCAATAGTAGCGAAGACACTGTCGGACAACATCTTCGGCTTGTTAAAGCAATTTTTTTTTTTATATTTGTTCCAGGTCAATTCGTCCCGTTTTGTTTAAGCTGGTGTTTTATCGGTGACTCTGGCGAGATAGAACATTAGCCAGTACATGCTTTCAAAAAAATAGGCAATAGAGGCCATCTGGTTTACATTATTTTTCTCATCTTTATTTAAAAGGATTTTTGCTTATTTAGGTAGTTGAATTTGCGTTCAAAATCTTAATTTGTTAAAAAACCTTACTCTGAGATTTCAATCTAAACAGGTCAATCCTTACAAAAATACGTACTGCTAAAAGTAAATTGTCATTAATTACCATTGAGTTAATTAAGTTTAATCTAAATTAATAAGTTTATATACTTTTAAATCTGTTTAGTTATCAATGAACGAAGATTTAAAGTATTTAAATTTTTTTCATGATCAATAAAGACTTAAACTAAAAATGATCCCTGAGAAACACTTTTACCAGTGTTTGAAAAGTATTTAGTTATATATTTTACTGATTTTCTCGTTTGGTAATTAGCTGTTAAGGTTAATCTCGCAAATGTTTTTTAAAGCATATATTGAGTCTTGCAATATGTATAAAATTCCGAGCACGAGTACGAGTTACATGCATTTGTATATTTTACTGCTTTTATGGTAATGATTTCCGTTTCGTTCTAGTTTCCTTTGTGGACTTGTGGAAATTTTTGATTCCGAACATTCCTCGTGTTCTTTTTACACCTCGTTTTTTTAATACGTCTATATAATACTTTTTGCTTATCATTACAATATGAGATTCGTAAGATTTCTATGACGAGAGATTAATAAATATTGATTCACTTATAAGTATTCATAATAAGTTTTAATAAATACAAAATCAGAAATCTGGTGCAATGGTCATCAATTTACGATTCACTTATTAGTATTATATGGATCAAAATTTGAGCCTAATCACATTAATCTAATGCAACATTACGTTTCCCGCGAATATTTTCTGACTAACATTTTTACTACCAATATTTCCATAAACAGTTTTGTTTATTTGTCGAGCTTGCACACGCAACCCGTTTCGCACTGTACGGTTTAGAAAATAGGTACAAAAAAAGGGCGTGATCTCTTCGAAAGTGATCCGGCATTCATGTAGGTGCGACCGACAAACTTTCTCGATGCACACGACCGGTTTTATAGCTAAGGTTATGTCATTGCATGTGTCGCAAAACGTCGCCATGGAAACCTCATACGTATTTGTAATACTGATTATACATGATAATTACTGTAAAAGGAAGTTTAAAGTAAAATTAAAGTATTAAAAATAAGGTCCGGAAACTATGTAGAGCTCTTTAAACAAACATGAAATATTAAATTAAGTAAAAAAAAAAAATACTAACTTTTCCTCTATTTTTATGTTGAAATCCGTAAAATATTCTAGGCTGTAGAGCGTGCCAAAGAATTACACATACGTACTTACCTTACCGAAAAACATTACCCTCCTTATTCAGTTGGGTGAAAAGAAGTGTTTTTAGAAGGATGAACCACCATCTCAAAAGTTACATTTTGGAGTATGCACAGGAATTGCATAATTTGGCTAAATCCCTCAACCCTTCTATTATAGTAGAACTCCATCCTTGTTCTTGATATTCCCCGCCTCCGAACGAAGAGATTCATCTCCTTGTGTTAATGTCAGTTTCCGAGTGATTGTAACAGTTAGACACAGTCAATCATCGTGTCAAGGGTGGATTGGATTTTACTGAGCTACTGAGTTTAGCATCTAGCACTTACCATAAGGCAGGAGGACAGTCAAGCACTGGCGAGTTTTAGAATGAAAAACTAAAATAAACGAATAAAATTCACTCGCATTAAAACTTTTTACATCAAACTAGCGGACCCGACAGACGTTGTTCTGTACTAAATCCGACAACTTATAATAAAATAAAATGAAAGAAAGTTGTAGTGTCCCGAATTGTGAATCTAAACCATTCTCGAATCGACTTGAAGACACGCAAAAAATTTCACTAAAATCGGTCCATTTAGGAGGAGTTCAGTGACATACAGACGTACAGAATAATTATATATATGTATAAAGATAGACATAGTCTCAACAACCTGATTACATTTACATCGACTATATCATTCAAAGTAATAGCTTCAATCGCACTTTTAAAAGGAGCGTAGAGTTTATGCCGGCGCCGCTGAATGGAATTGCGATAATGGATAATGCAATGTTCGCCGGCCACCGTAAATTCCGCAACGATCACTCTTCCCAACTTTTGATGATGCATTAGTATTTAACACACCATTATGTTTAAAAATATCAACTGTGGTAGTGCCACGCAACAGTCTTTACTGTCGCACGAATGGGCAGGTCCGTCCGGGCAAGTATGTTTTTTTTTATGTGAAAAAGTTGCCAAGCGAGTAGGCGGTTCACCTGATGTTAAGTCATGGACGTCTGCTACACCCGAGGGTTACAGATGCGTTGACAACCTTTTGAAAATTGGGCTCCAGCTACCTCACAAACCAGACGAAACGCGAAAGTATTTGTCATAATTCCACTATACGCCGAGGCTGCTGCGTGGCTCTACCACAGTTGAAACTTTATTATATGTTGGCCAAAAATATCCAAATCTATGGGTGTTTCAAATGTCAATGAGCGGCGGTTATCACTTCGCATCAGGTGAACCGCCTACTCGCTTGCTGGCATCTCACATTAAAAAATAACATTAGCATTATTTTGTGCACGTCTTTAATTTTAAAAAGTTAGTAAAAATGTACATTTTTATAATATAATATATAACAAAAAAAAAACGAAACTTCAGGTTTAAAATGTTTATTAAATGCCTTCCAACTAAAAAGGTTAGGTAATTATTCTTAAGAATAAAATCATACACTTTTTAAATAAAAGAAACACAACCATTTGGGACGATTTTCGATATATCTAAAAAATTCGAGAATTAATTTAATCCCACCGTGTTAAAAATTTTTTCGATTAAAATTTCTAAAACTAGTTCCTTATAAAAGAAACACAAACTTGAAGTTATTATAAATTAAACGTGTATTTGAAATTTTCAATATTGTCAAAAGATTGACATGAATGACAAGATTGAAATTTGCATTGAAAGACTCGATGTAATTAATGAAAAACTTCACAAGACAGTAACAAAAGTATTTAAAAATGTCCATTTGCTTTGGCTTACAAAATATCACAAAATAGTGTTAAGTTGTGCAAAATAACGCTGCTATTATACGATACACTAAAATCTGTAAAATTTTAGTACCTACGCCAGCAAAAATATAGCTTATTAAAATGGGAACAAAAATAGTAGCGTGTAATATCAGTATTTTTGCTAGTGAATCTTTGGAAACATAATTAAAATATCCTCAATGTAACATTAATTGACTGTCCCCCACTATATTTAAATTACGTTTATAAATTTCGAAAGTAAATATAACCCTAAAATTTTTACATACGCAGTGTAAGACTGTTGTCGTTACAACAAAAAAGAGTAAATGCTTCTGATTACTTATCAGACGGTGTTACGTTAACAACCCACTGCTAAAACGAGCCTTACTATTACGCAATAATATCTGCAAAAACTGGTTTCGAGGCTCGTTCTACTTTCCACTATGCCCGCCTAATCGTACAGCTTTGCAATATTTGGTTATTTTCACATTGAACAAAAGAAAAATCTATAATGACGTTTTCGAATAAAATTTAAAAAAGTAAATTAATTAGCTTACTTTTTACTTAATACTACATAGTATTGCTTTATATTTTTATATCCTAATTATGAAGATGAAGTCATCATCAGTGACATAAAATGTTATGTTACACTACCAAAAAATACTTTTATTATATTTTTCTTATTTTATATTGAAAAAAGCTATTGTTTGAACATTTAAAACTATAAAAAAGATCATATATTAAAAATTTGGCAAGTAAGACGACTATGGACGGTCATATAAAAAGGTTATCTAGGAGTTGCTCCCAAATCGCTTTCTCTGATCTCCTAGATGGCGCTATCGCTAATACTTGGGCAAGGTTGGTGCTGGCGCTGTCGGAGCGAGAAGTGAATCATCGGGCGCCGCAAAAGTCGACTCCCTCATCGACACGGAATTCCTTATGGAAGCCCTTCGCCGCACCAAAATGGCGTGGGCCAAGAAAAATGTGCAGAATATGCCGGTGCTCTGAAACAAAGGAGAGAATGTCATGGGAATGTCAAGTAAACAAACACATAGTTGGAAGCTACTGTCCACTAGAGAAAAAAAAATGACGTCATATTATATATTTCGATATATTCAATTCGGAAATAAATAAAAGAGTGGAAATAAAAGAAAAATAAATAAAAAAATAAAGGATACACGTTCATTTTGCGGACACCTTAAAAAATCCTCGAATAAACCATAAAAATGAAGACACAGTTCTGAGTTATTGAGTATCTGATTCCGATCGCTCGTCAAATAAGAATATCAATCATAGCGAGATTCTTCAGTATCAATTCTATGCTTGTGTTATAAGCTAAATTTAAAATACGGTTTGTTTTTATATTTTCGGATGTAATTACATTAATTAATTATGTACATAGCGGTATTTTAATAGATTGTGCGCCTCGCCTAGATTTTAACAACAACTCTATCGTTAATAACTTCAAATATTTCCATTTAACTAGAACTAATTAATTAAAATGCACCAACTGTTTGGCAACCAGTTCTCCAAGTAAAAGCAAGAAATGGAGTATCGTTGATTTGTAAGAATATATTTAATCAATCGGTACCAATGTACTCGATCTTCTTTAGTTTTTTGAGTTTTGACCAGTCAGTGTTAGCAGTCCCAAGCACGCAAGCACGCATTTGTTGACTTTCAGTGGAACAACACGCTTCAAGAATTCTCTCCCGTAACAAAGCGCGGTCGAAACAATCGCCCGCCGCCGGAACTTGGCCGTACTCGAATGTCACACCCGACAGCTGCGGTTTGAAGAATCAGGCCTTTGTGTTAGGCGCGCATAACATGATTTATCTCAAGCGCACCGGTTTCGTGTGTGGAATTCGAACTTACATCAAACATCAAACCAACTAGTTAGCTTGCTAGTGTGCGCGTCGCTTTGAGCGGGGAATGTTTGGCATTTGTCGTTTGGTGCGTATTAAAAAAAGATAGAATGCGCGGGAAACGTTTGGCATCTGTCATAATTTATTTGTTACAAATATCTAAAAAATACCTGTAGGCGGTCACATTCATTTTTATTCACGTATATGCAGCGTTTACTTGAAAAATTCTATCTTAATGATTGAGTGAATTGACACATGAATTTTCTTAAAGCTAGGTAAATCCTAATTGACGTCTCGTAATCGTTTAACCCACTAAATAAGAATTGAAATGTGTTTAAAACTTGATCACATTAGGATCATAAACAATTCACAAAGTTCACCTTGGGTACAAATGCGAACTTTGCGATCTTTTTCCTGTAGTACCAAAATGCTCCGTAGCATTTTGGTAGTGCAGGGAAAAGATCGCAATACGATGCTAATATAACCAGAGGTTTTATATCGTCTTATGAAATACTTGTAATTTTGCCACCTTCGCGATAGCAGTGTCTCGGCCCTCACTTTGAATACGTTCGTACTTACATTGAAAATAAGTCTGCCTATCTGGAAGTGTCTTGTGTTGAACCGTGCCCTAATAACCTGTACAGATAAGGCCTTTACCCTGTAGTTACTAATATATTTACGCTGTTACAAAGATATATTTTTCGACGAGGATGACAGCTTACAAAATGCTTAACTTACTTAAATTATTGGTAAAGAATATACTCTAAATAACTCTAATTAAAGTCAAGGATACTACAATGTTTAATTTTAATATAAGGATAAAATAACGCACGTATTGTTAACTTGTTTATGATTGTTGAAAAGAATCATAAACTTATCATAATATTGAAATATGAATAGGTATTGATTTCGATGTTTCGCGATAGTCATTTTAAATTTAACTTTTCCGCCACATTACATTGCTTGTTTTTTACTATTTTGTAAAAAGAAATGTTTATAAATGGCACATTGAAATAAAACTTGATTTTGAAAAACTTACTCTCCGTACGAAAAGAGAGTATGGATACTTCTAGTTCGCGATCGTCTTCGGTCGAACTCTTTGGCCAGGCTTTGATATACATTGTTCAGAATCACTTAGAATACTCATCTGAATGAGAATCGCTTTCGCTGCTCCCACATTGCTGACAGGCTTTTGTAAACAATCCCAAGCAGCCGGGCGTGAAAGCGAAGCCAAAATTATAATGTTGTTTTCAAATAAATCAAATTATATTCACAACGAGTCAGACAATCATTATTTCACACGCAAAATAAGGCATAATATGACTTTTGATCCTGTTGGAGTGGGTAGAGAATTCAAGTGCGCGTTTCAATAAACTTTTATGGTAAAAGCGTAGCCGACGACAAGCCTATGCTGTAAGTAAGAAGGATTCCATAACTAATCGCTGTCGATAAACAATACCCATGTAGTTCTGCGAAGCATCCTAAAATGATATCAACGAGTTTCCCACTGGCGGGCGTTCGACAGAACATCATCGAATGTTCAACAATAAATTTTCTGTCACTTACGACTCTTTGGTGAAATCAACGAAGAAAAGAGCCTATTCCTATCAACATGGCAACACTTTTAAAATCTCTGGTGGAGCACCACCATCAGATTGAATCCGACCGGATCCGGACCACCACCATCACCAGATTGAATTGACCGATCCAGGGCGAAGGTAATTAATTACACACCACCCCGTGTGTTGCTTGCCCGCTCCAAATTTACAAGGCAAACTGCAACTTATGCTTTCCTATCTCAGCTGACGCACAATTATTTTAGGAAATAATTTACACAACGTTATCTAGTCCACTGTATAACCGAAAAAATACTTTAATATACTTTTCTTTGGTAAATAAATACATACATGTTATAGATATGTAAATAACCAGACACAAAAAAACACTATGTTCACCACACAATATTTATCCAGTAATGGGGATCGGACCCACACCCTCTGGCTAGCGCACAGGGACAGATCCACTATACACAGCGTGTCGTTACAACCGCGACAATAAATGAACACACATATAGAGGATAACTTTTTAAAATTGTATTAAGCATTTACATTCTTTAAGCATCAATATTTACCGAGTTATTAAATTTTACAAAACAAATATTTTAAGAATACCCTTACGTATAAAACTGTAACGTAAAGTTAATTTGTAAAGGTCACAAAGTATATGAATGGGTTGAATGAATTTAAAAGAGATAAAATATACTGTTGAAAGTGTTAGTATGTTTGAAAAAAAAAATTTTTAAACTATGGATTTTTTAACGTTTTATATCTTTTTATGATTATTGGCAAGTAGCGTTAGACGTGTGTTCATTTATTGTCGCGGTTGTAACGACACGCTGTATATGTCCACTACGCCAATCGGGTCGAGAAATAAAAGTATGTTTAGTAATAATGTATATTAGAATAGAAATAAAATATCATAATCAAAATCAGAAACACTAGAATATCTGAGGTAAATGCTTATAAGAAGCAACATAAATAAGTGCGAATTCTATTAATAAACCTGACAGATTCTTGAGTATTCGCGGTGTCCTTAGCGTTTCTTAGCACATAATATCTAAGATGATGTATACTTATAAATCGTTGTTATGACTAGGTCTGTTTGCCGGCTACGCCGAGAATGTTGTCTTGATTTATTCAATGATTTATAAGATGTCTTCAACGTGATAATAAACAAGCAAAAATATACAATTGTTATAAAAGAAAGAAATAAACGAAAACTAACCTATAATGAAAATAGCACATACATCGTTTTATTGAAATTGAATTTAAAATAATTTAACAACTACATTTATTTGCTAATAACATTTTGATTCCCATAATTAGCTTATATAGCTAGAGAGAATAGTGATTCGAAGTTCATTTTCAGCGGGTAGTTTGTTTGTATTCTTTGTTTTTAATGACTTAAAGTAACATCCAAAGAAGGTCCAACAAAAAATAAAAAGAGCCCTAATGGATTAACAAGACAAAGGTGTCTGACAATAACATAAAAGGTAAACGTAATCATGTAAGTATAACGAATAATAATAATAATGACAAAGAAACATACTAATTATTATGTAGGTACTTTAAGTATTTTAAGTGTTTTAAAACATGTTAAATATTTAATAGGAAGAACCTGTTATAATGAAAGGATTTTAAGGAAAAGGCCTATAATGATGTCGAAGAAAGCGTTGAGGACAATGTTTTGTGCAAATAACTTCCCTAAGAAACTTCCCTGGCTGCTGCTGATTATAATTTTGGGTACTTATTTTAATAAAAAAAATCGATAACAAGACCGCAGAATTTCTTTCCGGTTCTTCTTTGGACAGGTCTGGTTTAGTGAACCGATGGTAGTTTTTTGACGTTCAATCAGAGCTTATATTAAGCCTATATGTTTGTGAATACCGCCGCCTATGGACATCTGCTACACCCGAGGGTTGCAGATGCGTTGACAACCTTTTGAAAATTGGGCTCGGGCCACCTCACCCACCAGACGAAACGCTAAAGTATTATAATTCCACTTTACGCCGGTCTTCTGTGAGGTCGTGGTACTTACCCGAACGAGCCTGCCCATTCGTGCAAAAGCCGAGGCTACTGCGTGGCTCTACCACCGATAATATACCATATTGAATAAAGAAATTTTGATTTTGAACGTTACTAGCAGAATTAAAAATGAGATTATATTACGCCAGCGATCTCGTGAAAAATTAATCAATAAATTTGAATGTTAAATAATTAATGACTTGTCAATTGCAATATTAGATATTAGAGCGGTTGAGAAAGGCATCGGCAGGAAACGTATTGAAAAAATGTCTATAATTATGAAGACAACTCCACTTTTTCCATAGAGGAGGTGTTTGACAAGCAGTCGGACATATGACATTTAAAAATCTCTGACAAGCTAGCTGCTATGGACCCGAACTGGTGAACTTGAGATAGTAAGTTAAAGTCTCAAATTCAATCTATTGCAATTTTGCTCGTTTCTTCGACTGGACTTCAAACAACAAAAATCTCCGCCTGATACCTATAAAATCTAATTAATTTAAAAAAATTACTATACATTAAGCAATATTAAATTAAATTTTAAATTTATCAGCTATT